TACATATAACAAGATTTATTCATCAACAAGGAAATATTCAAACATTAGTAGTCAAACAAAGACAATCACGAGATTTACTTATTACTCAACGTATTCTAATTATTGTTAGTTTATTACTTATTCTTGGAATACCTGGAATGACTCTTATATTTATGTTTATAATAACAGGTGAAGAACATCCCATACTTGCTCGAATTGCATTTTTTCCAGTTAGCGCATCTCAAATGGGATTGAGTGTAGCATTGCTTTTTTCTATTCCACAACTGAAAAAAATTGTTCTAAACTTACGAACAATAAACACAGTGATGCCAGTCAATCAAACCGCACGAGGCACAGTGCAAATGAGAACAATTACGGGTACTCAATAATCCTATATTGTTTGCGATTTCAGTAGTGAAATCAATCTTATGAATATATTCTTATATATTTATTAATTTTAATTGCTTTTAATTTTTTTAATATTTCTTATTTTTATGTCAGTATGTAAGTGAAATTGTTCCTGTTTATTTATGAATATTGAATTCATATTGATTATTATCGTTATAAGTATTGTTCGTTGAGAAATCTATATGTTGTGATATTCAGTTTTGTATTGCTTATTTTCGTTTAATATGATGTAAAAATGAATAAAGTTTCAGTATTAATTCCTTCTTTCACCCGCCCTTTGGTCGTATATATGAATTATATACATCTTAGAGTAAAACTGAATCTATTTCTAAATTTCACTATTTATTTTCGAACTAATAGTGTGCAGTTGGATGTCTATTTATATTCGAATACGACTTAGGAAGCTCATCCAGCGTTCACTGTTCAGAATAAAGAAGTGGGCATATTGGAGAGATGCATTTTCAGCAAAAATCGCTTCGTCAGACCTGAGACCGTTCATAAAACGGAGAAGTTCACTGTATATAGATAAGATTTTCGCTTCTGAAAAACGGCTACTTTAACAAAGAGAGAAAAGAATTCATTGTGATTCAATGATATTTTTCTTCTTGTTCTTGATATACCATCCATGCACACAAAATAAAACGTTCAATCTCAATTTTTTATTGAAGAGAAGACTTTATTTCATTTTAAATAAAATATTACAATTGATTTATGCAAATGTAAAATATACTTTCATCTTATTATTAAAATGATTTTTAATTCTACTCATATCTTGTTACGTAGGTGCTTAAAAAAAACTGACAAGTATTAAATTAAAAAAGAAATAAAAAACATATGTCACTCACAACGTACAAGTAACATACATTTTTAAGCACAGATAAATAAATATTTCAATAGAAATTTCTTTTATAAGATTAATAATAATTGCGTAATATTTATTGCTTTTGATTAAAAATAATTACTATGAAGAAATGCAAATAGAACACTTTATTACAATTTTACAAATGTTTATTATCTGTTCGTTTTTAAAACCATTTCGAATTTTTGTAAATTGGTCGATAGACTTTATAAAGAAATTGTCGAAGTCCATTAAGAAAAAACAATGGTTGATCTACATAAGAATCATGACCAGCATCGATCATAAATAAAACTTCGCTATTTGGAATTTCAATAAGAATTTCATATGCAGGTTGAAATGGAGAATCATCTTCAGCATGAACAACTAATGTTGGAACCTTATATAAAATAAATATGAAAAAAAAACAATATAAATGCAATTTTAAACTTACATTAATTTGTCGAAAATAATCCAACGCACGTCTTTCTGTACTAACTGGTGCAATAGGTACAAAGCCTCGTACTAATTGTTGTTCTTTTTCTAATTGAAAAATATAAGGTAAAGTTAAATCACCACTCGCTGATGCGCTAACAATAACTAAATTTGAAAGTTCCAGTGCTTGGATAAGTTTTCTTAACCATTGAACAGCTTGTTTATCATTAGTTACAGGTAATGAATGATTTCCTTTTTTTGGAATATCAATAGTAACTGCTCGATAACCCCACGTACTCAAAAATTGTAATGCACCTGAAAAAATGATTGTATTTATCGTATAGAAATTTCCATGCAATTTTTACCAATTTCCCACCAAATTTTCGAAGTAAATGCCTCGCCATGTAATAAAAGTATATGATAATTACTTTGACCAGCTTCACGAACAAGAATATTTTTATTCTATATATATATAAATTCTAATGTTTTGAATATTTTCTTTTTTTTATAATAAATAATACCTTATTATTAGTTATAGAAATATTATAGACTTTAATCTGTACGTTTGGAATATCTGTTTCACTAAGATTCATATTTAATTTTTCTGGTTGACTAGGTGATTTATAATCGTAGTCGGTGTTTGTTATAATTGGTTTCGGATTATTTTTATGTTCAATAAATGTATTAGCAGTAGGAATTGATTCAATAGATTTAGTCTCTTTTTTAATTAAAAAATCGTCATTTAGTTGTTGAGTATGTGAGATAAAATTCAAAATAATAATACCACAACCAAATAGAAGACTACCGCAAAGTGCAAATCTAACTATACTTGATCGATTTCTCATTTTTCTTAAATAAATTAGAATTTAGTTATATATTGTAAAATAGAAATAGAGAAAATTATTTTAGTTCTTTCTTTCTCTATAAATAAAAAGTAGGAAGAAAGAAACAAGAAATTTAACCACATCAATGATTGTTGCCATGTCATAGAAAAGATTACCACGCACTTTCTTTTTTGTTTCATTCGTTCTCGTCTTGAGAAATTTAATGTATTCTTTTCAAAAAAAACTAAATTATGAATAAGAACACAATGTGCCTCAAACAATATGAATGAAAGAATACATAAAACCGATCAATTACAGTCCTCTCTTTCAATTGAAACTCTTCAAGATATAGTACGTAATTATCAACGTACTGAACAACGTCTACAAGAACTTGAACGTTATACACGTCATGAACGTAAAAAAAGCGGAACATCTTCTACGTGAAAAATATCGAACAAAACATGAAAAACCAAAACAGGAACAACAATTCATAGGATTTTTTATTCCTTTAGATAATGATAATCATTCACATGAAAAAATTAATAAGAAGAAAATATTAAAAGAACAACAAAAAAACTTCTACAATTGATACTACACATCGAGTACGATTTAATATTCCAATTAATTCTTCGAATGAACAAAATAAAAATGATGATTTAGATGATTTATCACGTCGATGTGATGATCTTCTCTCTCGTTTAAAAACTGATCGTAATCAACGAACAATACTTAAAAATAAGGATTGTAATTCTTATCTTCAAAAATCATCCAGTCAACAAATTGATCAATCAATCACTCTTCGACAAGTACTTACATTTCTTCGTTCATCAGATCCCAATATCTTAAACGAAGAAATAAATCAAGTATTGAAGAAAAAACATGAACAACCATCAACATACAATGATGAATTAGAAAAAAGTCCAATAAGTGAAATACAACGAAGAAACTATCTACGAACAGAGATTTTACGAATACGTCTTCGACAACATCATTTATTACATAGTGGAACAAAAATCGATGATTCATTAAAAATGATCGATATATAGGAAAAAAGAACATGCCGTAGTTTTTCTTTATTTCTATATATATGAAATAAAAATTACTTCGTTTGATTTATTGTCTCACATAGCAATATATAAATCTTTATACTTGTCAGCAATAGATTATGATAAAAACTAATCGACTTTCTCTAGAATATTTAATACTCTTATCTTCATATAAAAATGAAGAGGTGACAACATGATGTAGAAATAGCAACTACTGTCGAAAAGAAAAAGAGAAAAAGGAAATATAATAAAAATGCTAGTAGGCATAAAGATCTAATTATGGGAATTTCCTAATGGAAGACTGCTATATTATTCTATGTGTTTTGTAAAAAAATTTATGTCCACATTGTAGAACTACAAATTGAAATAGCAAGTATTTTTCTATAGAAACCATAGTAAACATGTTAAGAAAAAGAAAGTTATTACTCATAAATAACATGCATTCAGATATTTTTCTCTCACTTCCTTTCCTTCTTTTCTTTTTTGAAGAAAACTATGGATATACTACGTCGACGTTTACTAGATAGTACAACAAAACAATCAGATTTAATTGAAATATTTACAGCAATTGATAGAGGTTTGTTTTTTATTTAATAACGAAAGTTTCATTTTTATGATAACGTATAGATTGTTCTGGTCGAATAAATTTTGAAGAATTCCGTGCAGCAATCAAATTACTTCAACTTAATATAAATAGTAATGAAGAAATCAAGGATCTTTTTCAACAATTCGATACAACACATAATGGACAAATTGATCTTTCAGAATTTCTTCAACAATTAAAACCACCTATGAATGATCGACGACAAAAAGCTGCTTTAAATTTATTTAATTCAATCGATGTTGATAAAGATGGACGATTAACTATTACAGATATTAAAGTATTAGAAACTATTTTACTATTTATATCAGTAATTAGACGTTAATTTTAGGCAAAATATGCTGCACAATTAAAACCTACTAAAAATAAATCAAGTCAAAGTATTGATAACGTAAGAAAATCTAACGAAATGATAAATTAATTTGACAGTGTGTTTGTTAGTATTGTGAATAGAATAATTCTTATCGATAAATCTTTTTCATCGATCGCCTTGTATTGAATACATTAGACTAGCAATAACAATTTATCAGGAAATAACAGTTCTTTTTATAGAATAAATCATCTTTCAGGATGTCATTGTCAGGTTCAAATGAAAATATCAGTCTTTAGTAACATGAATATGAATTATTCTATTGGTATTAAAAGTTAAATTAGTTAAGAACTCAATTGATCAATAATCTTTAGTTGGGAATAAGAGAATTTCGAACGCTATTAATAAACTGTTAATCCAGTGATGAAAGACAACAGAAATATCATCGTACCATGAATCAAAAGAATCCAATAGTATCTACTATACAGCTATTTTTGATAAGAAGAATATTGTTGAAAGTCAAGAAAAAACAATACATTAGAATTATTAGTTAGTATATTCATTTATAGCATCATAAAGTTAGATATCTATTTGATTAGTATATCAACATACGTTCGAAAATAATTTAGAGATATATAATCTACAATAAACAAAAAACAAATATATATATATATTTTTTGTCAATCTCTTGTATATTTTAGGCTTTAAAAAAATTTTTAAATAAATTCGATACACGTGGTCAAGAAGATGGTATCATTGATCAAGAAGAATTTCTTGGCTTTTGTGCAATGCTGAGTGCAACGGTAAAAGAAGATGTTTATTTCGAACATACACTTCGAACATTATTTGATTTTCGTCTTTAAAAAAAAAAGAATAAATATTTACGTCTCTGTGAATTCTAGCTTTATTCAAAAACAAGAAAAAAAAATATATAGAGTGAAAAAAAACCTGAGGACATAAAAAAAGATATCCAGGTTTTAAGTACAGATTAATCTAATATATAAATACATCTTGCTTGAAATAATAAATAGCAGGAATAATAAATCAAATAATATATACACTAAAGAAGCCACTGTTTTAATTTTACTACTAATCTTCATTTTGAATACGTGTAACTTTATTTGCACGAGTTTTATTAAGTGCTTGAGTACGAACTTTAAATGCAGCTCTATTAGCTAATTGCTAAAAGAAAAAATTTTAATTTAAATAAAAGGTTAATTGTTTATATATACTCGTTCGAATCGATTAGTTTTTGATTGATGAATATCTTCAATTTCTAAATCATCCAAATTAAAAACAGAACGAAGAAATCCATTCTCCTAATTTTACGAAAAAATAAGAATTGACTAAGAAGAAATATTGTCTTACTTTTAAATGTATATTCATTCCAGTAGCTAATAAACTACTAAATATGTTATAATAAAGTCGAGTTGTCCATGAAGTTATTTCTAATGTTTCACGACCAAATTTAATATCGAATTCTGGTGAAGTACCTTCCTGTAGAAAAAAAAGAAACAGAAGATTTAATTAATAAGAAAAATGAATTAATTTACTTCAAATGAATTATAAATTTCTCTAAATGTAGCACGTTGTAAACGTTTTTCTTTCTTTCCTCGATATTTTGCACTTTCATTAGCTTTTTTTTTCTAATGTTATTAATAACGATTCCGGTGGTTCAGCAAAAATCTAAAGAATATTAATAGAAAAAAATTTCTTTTGAAAGAAAATATTCCATTTAATCATACACTATTTATATCTCGGGCTATTTCATATAAAACAGCAATTGTTTCACCTGCTTGATTACGTAAATCACCATCATTAGATTCAATAAGACCAGGAATTTTTTCCGGTGCATAACTAAAAGAAATAATTTAATATAGAATAGAATAGGAAGAGTTTGATCTATGTATCAATCAAATAAATGCTTGTAAGCATATATAGTGCATGTCCTATTCTGTATGGAATAAGAAGCAGAAAGAGATTTATAGATTATATTTTACTTTCATTATAAATGAACAATTGATCTATACAACTCACTTCATCGACTTACCCAACACTTACGACGATTACGTAAAATTAGTTGGTATCAATACTTCTCAATAGTCATAGGCGACCGTTTTATCAACAACAACAAAAATCTATTCCGCATCGATAACTTCATATGTCACCTAAACATATATAAATATTTCCACTAAAGTCACTTCAATAGAATATTTATATTATAATACCAATCATGAAACTATTCTTAGATGTTTTTTTTATACTCGTCATCAAAAGCAAACTTACGTTCGTATTAATTCATGTGCAAGATTATTTGGCATAGTTGACATAAGAAGACACCATGATGAAAGTGCTGATGTATGTAATTCTTGTAAATCATGATTGATAATAGGTGTTGTACGATCAGGAAGTAAATATGATCGAGAAAAAATTGTTTCTAATGTTTTCATTAATTCAACTGTTGACTTTAAGAGAAAAACAAATCATAAATAACTCATATCTCTTTTATCTTAACAAATACTTACTGACATATCTTCACAAGCAATAAAACAAATGATACCTATTGCTTGAGCATACTATACAAAAAAAAAGTAATACAACATCCGTTAGATTTTATCTATTGATATAAACATACATTTTTTCGTATTGATGAAGATTTTGATTCGTCTCGTAATATTGGTAATATAATATCACGAAATTGTAAAAATAATTCATCATTTGGTTCACCGAGTTGAATAAAAAATAATGATGTCACAATAGCTGCTAATTTTCCTTCCGATTCATTGCCTTTTCTTAAACATGTTATTAATTGATCGGTCAAACTTTCACTTCTATACATTAATTTAATAAAACAAATTATTTAAATTTTTTTTTCGTTCATACCGATTGATGACTAGTTCAGAAACATATTTTTGAGAAAATAATGTTTGAAGTGTACGTAAAGAATTTTCACGTGTTCGTAAACTAAAATTCAAAAAAAAATACTAAATAATATATTGATTAATTTAGATTAATAATTACTCTTTATTTCGAAGTCCTTCGATTGCTATATCAAGTTTTTCATCAAGAATATCAGTTGAAAGTATAGTATCATTTGATGTAGGAAAACCAACTAAAATCAAATAGATTTTTATTTCATGAATATAGTATAGTCTCTCGTTAAAAAGAAAAACAGATAGCTTTTAGAGTCAAATTAAGTTGTATAATAAAATTCAAACTTAGAATTTAAATGTTGATATCTGTTTCTTTTAAATTAGATACTATTTTATCGCTAAACGATGATTGAACTATCGTAAGTATGATAAATTGATGTCGCTAATGTCATCAAATACATTATACAGTTTTACGACCGTCTCGCGTTCGATAGAGGGTTATATACAACAAACATATTAAAAATTCGATTAATCATTGAAATCAAAGATTAGTCATAAAACCCATTTTGTTTTCGAAATAATTCCCATTAGTATGGGAGAAATACGTCTGATAACATTCCTCTCTGGACTATATCTAGGATGATTCATATTTGTGACTAATTCAATCTAAATAACTCGAACAACATTCCAGAAAAGTTTATGAGAGGACTTTCTATGACTTCAATACTATGAACGAAAGAATTACTTTTTCATATAGCAAATACTTTCTACTGTTCAGCATAGACTTTTATGTATATTACAGATTCTAGAAAGAATCTAGCATAGAAACCAGATTACATATACAATTAATAAATTATATCTGCTTCTGGTGAATAGTGCATCGGTATCGTCTATTATTTGTAATTATTCGAAAGTTTCTATTTATTAATAGATGTCAAAAGAGAGAGAAAAGTTAGACTGAATATGAAATATTTCTGTTCACCGAAGGAAAACTATGTGAAATTTATCTTACCTTCACTATCATCGTAGATACTTGTTAAATCAGAAATATTTGAACAGGTACTCACACCATCATCAATAGATACACTATCATCAGCACCTGATCTTGATGTCTTACTCCTAGGTGGGCGATCTAAAAAAAATCATATTTCGTAAAATATAACTAAATGTTTTTTATATTACTTTTTTTTTGTATATTTTGGCATAACTATTTAAACATATCTAAAAGTTGAAAACATAAATCGAGTTTAATTAGAAAATGATAACAATAAAAAGAAAAAGACAGAAAAAGAAATTTTTTTTTTATAAAGTTTAATTTTTATATTTGAATCATTTTTGTTTTTTTAAAACAAACGATCATGTCTATCCATAGCTAAATGTGGATCAACTTGTAATTCACCAAATTCTCTTGGATTATTTAAAATATCATCAAATGATATATCTTCATTTGTACCACGTAAAACATCTAACATTAAACGTGAACTAGGTAAGCATGGTAAACGACCCATTTTACTGGCTATTTGTAATTCAGTTTGAAGTTTTAATGGTGCTTGAATACCTAAAACACTACGTGCCATATGATGATTAAATTTATCCCGGCTATCAATATGTGTTGTTTCAGATTTTTCAAGCATATGACCTGTTGTTAATGATGATTTTACTGAGGTTAAACCTTGACATAGTTTATTTGGTAAACCGGTATAACTTGTTGTATCCATCTGAATAATTCAAATAAATATATAGTTATGTAATGAGAATGACTCACATTTATTTAAGATTAATTGAAAGACTTTGTTTGACAAAGAATGAAAATCTAGAATGCGGTTCTATGTCAAAAATGAAATGTCAATGTAAATGATTAACGGGAAAAATGATAGTATACACTCAATCAAATAGCTAACGTATACTGAATACTACTGAATAAAATAATATCACGCAGGCAATGCGTGAAAAGACACAACCACCAATCAATCTGTCAAAACAGTATTACTAGTGACCTCTAGTATTTCTTTTATGGAGATAGAATATATGATGGTAACATATTTTATTTTGTTAAAACATCTATATATACTTTTCCCTTAATTTGAATTTATTATCAGAGCATTGTTATAGAGGATTGTCAAAGTGATAGCAGAGTTATGGTAGAATGCTCATAGAATCTAAAAGAATAACAGTATACGAATCGATTTAAAACGATTTATTTATATGAAATATATTAATATATTGAACAATAAGAAATGAATCTATAAGTCTTTTTAATTTCTCGTTGTTCAGAATAGTGAACGGATTTTTCATTATGATAAACATAAAGATGAGCATTGGATTAGACAGCTCATTTAAATAATCAATTAAAAGATCTTATATATAACTATTCTACAATATATGCAGTAAATAATTATGAAGACAAAGCAATTCTATTATTAATGACCTTTTTCACAGCTTTTCGTATATATACTATATAAATGTCGACAGAAATCAAACTAATCATTTAAAAGGATAAGTCGATAACGATTGCATCATGAACACATTCTTGCAGGCAAGACTGTTCGTCCAGATCCATTTTCATTCATGATCTTTATTCAAGTTTGAATACTATACATATAAACTATTTTAATTAATAACGAAAGATGAGTACAACAAATGTTAAGAAAAGCTTTTATTGCTGTACCATCCATAATAAATATCTCTAAATAATTAAAAAGAAACTAACGGATATACAAACTATTTATTATATTTTGTTGTGTTCACATGAAACCAGTCAAAATAATTATTTGTCTGAAAAAATCATCATACACGGATATATTTTGTTTTTATATAGATTTTTCAATCATTAATTAACGAAAATTTTAAGTCATACTAATAACATTATTATAACGATTGTTTTCATATTAAAAAACAAAGAAATACACAAATTATATAGGATTGGTTGAAGATTACATATATATGTCATAATTCACAATACGATATTCATGACTAGAGAAAAAACGAATGTTTCTATGTGTGAAAATCGTTGATGTGACATCGATAGCAGCGACATTATTTTCCACTATTCGTTTGATTCGTAGTTATCTCGTCAGAAATATACAAAGACCGCTCGTTCGCATCATTAGGACAATGATTCGATTATGAATTTGGTGACCGATCGATCGATCGATCGTTGTATAATATTGTTCAATTCACTCATATACATTTTTTTTAATCTTTAGAATAATTTCATGATATCTACCGCTTAAGTTCTTTAATTAAATCTTTTCGATTATTTAATATGCTTACGCATCTATCAGCAACAAGTCCTTATGTTTGGTTTGTTCTATTCATTTAGTTCTATTTTTGAAAAAAAATTTTTTTTAATATTTTTTTTAGTGATATAAGCCTTGGACCTATCGAACAGGCAAATCGTATGGCTTCGGCACCAACAAAAACACCAGTTTCATTGCTTGAATACAAAGAAAGTTTTCCAAAATTTCAACAAACACGTACACCATTAAAACTTCTTGCTCCAGATGAAGTACCTATGGATACTAGTACTGCAACAACAACAACTACAGATATGAATAATAGTCGACAACAAAGTCTCCAACCTGTTTGGTATACAGAACAAACTATTGTTGATGATAATAATGATCATCAACAGCAACAACGAAATTCAATGATATCACCTAATCATCGTCATGATTTAACACGTTCAACATTACCTACTATCGAAAGTTACAGTCCAGAAATCGTAGATGAAATTATAGAACAAGAACCACTTTCATATAAACCATCATTGATGCGTAAATCATCAACATTTACAATTGAACGTCAATCAACGATTAATATTCCATCAACATTAAATGATTCAGAAAAAGAAAATGATTTCAATAATATTATTACATCAACACAGTATGTTTCAGATAAAATATATTTGTTAAGCTTATCTTGAACCTAGAGGAAAGAAGGAAGCTTTTTTTTCAGAAATAAGAATCATTATCTTAAAAAACAAATAGTTCGTCTACCTAGGATTTAAGATATTCTATTAATGATAATCATATCTTCTCGAAGATGTAGAATCTAAGTGGTATATAATTAACGTTTTGTTTATTTAGAGAAGAACCAAAACATCCAATAAATCATCCAACTGAACCATCTGATGAATCCTTTCGTGCACTTGAACATCTCTTAGGTCTTGGTTCAGTAAATACAAATTTAACTATGACAGCTCTTGCACAAGAATCTCCCAAAAGTAATCATGAATCACTTTCATTGACAATTGTTACACCAACTGAATTAATTAATCAAACAGGAACATCATTTTTAAGTTATGCACCAGCTGGTGGTAGTTTACCCTCTTCACAGAATATTCTTGTTATGCCAACTATTGAAAGTATAACAGAGCCAAGTATGAATTCAACTATTCCACCACCATTTGCAGTTGATAATAGTGATACAGAAGAAGCATCATCACCAGGTGGAACAATTCTTAATCAAGAAAATTCAAAATGTACAGAAGATTCATTTAATTTTACTGATAATGATGATGATGAACTGTTAGAAACACCAAAAGATGATACAAATTCCGAAGAAGATAATAATTTCTCATTTGAATTAAATGATTTTCCAAATAATTCCAAAGATACTACAAATGAATCAAGTTATTTAGCACCAATACCACCACCTCCAATAATTACAATTCGTCAACCAACAAGTGCTGATGTTGCTTATAGAGCTCTAATTAAATCTCGACTCGGTGGAAGAATATCTCAACCAGTTAAAACTGAATCACCATTAGCAAAATCAAGTAATTGAAAATTTCTTTTTATTAATTTTTTTTTCTAACAAAATCATCTAGATAAAAATAAAGTAACAGTACGTTCGTCTGTTCCAATACCATCACCCACACCAACATCACGTGTACTTCGTTCAAGTACTCGTCGAATTTCAATTGATCCTGCTTCAGAAAATTCTACCACTGAAGAGATAAATGAGCCAATTGATCTTGTTTCAGAAAGTTCTACTACTACTGAAGAGATTAATGAACCAATTGATCTTGTTTCAGACAATTCTACTCCTGAAGAGATTAATAAACCAAGTATGTTATACATACTTATGAAATTTAATATTATTAAAAATATTTTTTCTATATATTATAGATCCGCCAGTAGAAAATGAATATTTTGAAAATGAAAATAAAATTGATGATGATGATTATCCACGTATTGAACTTGTTGAAGTTGTTAGTTTAACTGATGAAGATGAAATGGAACAAGAAGAAATGGCAGGAATTACTCTTAATCTTACTGAAACTAAAGAGATTAATAGTACATCACCAACAAGTGCTGAAGAAGCTGATTGTAGTGCTTCAGTTTCATCATCTCATATATCACCTCAACAAGATATCAATACACCAATTGATACAAAAATGCCAGTTTTATCTCGTGAATTTACTTATAATACTCCAACATCAAGAACAACTCGTTCTTCACAAAAACGTCGTTCAATAATAACAAACTATCAAAATTATTCACGTTCAACACATTCTCTTATTACTACAATTCCTGAACAACAAACAACAGCGAGTAGTGAAGAAGAAGATCAGCAACAACTTAGTACATATTCAATACCATTATCAACACTTTCAACAAATCCAACAGCTATTAGTGAAGCACCACCAATTATTTTACAAAAATCTTTAGCTGGTTCAGCATCGCCATCACCTAATCCAACTCCAATAATAACAATTCGTCAAAGTCAACGTTTATCATCAAATTTATCTCCTCGACGAAATATTAATCCTCTTCATTCATCTACACCATCAGCTAGAAATAAATCTTTACAAATGGTTTCCATTGGTGAACAAGAACAAGTTTCAACAACTGCTCCACCACATTTAAATATCGATTTAACTACTGATGATGTTGAAATGCTTGACAATGAACAACAAATTGATATTCCTATTAAAAGTAATAACATCATCTTTTTCTTTCTAAACTCTATTTTTTGTTTTTTTCAAATTTTAGTTCAACATGTGACTGATGAAGGTATTCAAACTTCTCCTATTCAATCACCTCGTCGCGTCGATATCGGTATTCAAACAACACCAAGTCTTAATCCATTATCTTATCGTCGTTATCAAACAATTGAACAACAAACAACACCAATCATTACTCGTTCATCTTCATCATCAAGTTGTCAAACAACTTCAATTGCTATCGCAATTCAACAAACAAGTCCAATGATTGAAACAAGATCAAAAATAATTATCCAGGAAGAAAAAGAAGAAGAAGAACAACAGCAACAAGGAACACCATTACATAGTAAAGCTATAATGCATTTAAGACGAAATGTTCGTTTTCAATTTACACCATCGACAGATGCACGTTTAACGGCAAAAGAAAAATTAGAAGAAGAACAAAAAAAACATGTTAAACAAGATATTATTATTGATAATACAAAATCGATTCTATCAGATAATGAACGTGAAGAAGATACAGAAGATGAAATAAGAAAAACAAAAAAGAAAATTACAACATCAAAAAAGAAAAAAATTGTTCCTACAACAAAAACTGATGATAGTTCAGAAGAAATGGTTTGAAACTGAATTTTCTTTTTCAACTTTTTTTATTTAAATTATTAATTTAATTTAGAATGAATCACCAGTTCGTCGAATAACTCGTAATCAACGTCATAAAACTACAGATGATACTCATGAAACATCAACAACACAATCGAAAAAGAA